TGAATATTTTTCCACCAGGCTTCTAATCCAGTGTTGAGACACAACCTCAGTTTGGTCCCAGCAAATCATATCCTTGATCCACAATTGAAGATATTTTGCAGCAGAGGTCACAAAAGTTTATTCCTGTCCCAGGCTCAGAGTTGAGTATTAGAGCAGATGATTACACAGGATGTCCATATGACCCTTTCCCTTGGAACTGGTCCTACTAATCAAATGCTAATGGTCTCATGCATTCATCTAGTCCTCTTTGTTGCTGGCTAGTTGTTTAATCTTCATCTGCCTCAATACAAAATCCTTTGCAATCTTCAGGTGAAGACATATATTAGTTTATGTCAAAGTTGCATTGATATCAATTTTTATCAGATATAACACCATCACTTTTTAACAATGGTCATCAGGACACAAAGAAAGGTTAAATCTCCTGAGCGGAAGACAGCAAAAGAAGTTTGACAGGAGTTCCAATCCTTTGCCACTCCATCCAAAGCTAAAAGAAAAAAAGGTTTTGGCTACACATACCCTTTAGGCTGCTAGTTGGCAGGTGAGTTTATAAGAACATTATGCATATGCACTTGCAAAGAATTTATCTCAGTTTTGCTAACTATAACTGAATTAATCTTTGCTAATTTTGGGCTCTGAGGAGCAATGTACAACAGAGAGATTACAGATCAAGTACTAGACATGTTGCTAAACAGCTGGTATTCGTTCATATGAAAACAAAGTTGTACAGCTTGTGCTACTCTAACAGTCACATCTACAGATGGAAATAACACATAGTATGTAGCCACCCTGCCTTAAGCAGGAGTGATTCTTTCAATGTAGTTTTGCTGGGCTGTAATCAGTTTAAGCTAAGCCCAGTTGTATGTTTCTGCCTGCTATTATGGAGTGTCCAGTAATTCTGGGTTATAACTATTTATGTCATTTTAGCCAACCACCAAGAGGTTTATTACCAATTGTACAGGTTGGGAAGGTTATAAATGTTTGTTGAGCTTTGCGAGCTACGATCTTGCCTCCTAGGCTTTGCCTAGGGCAGTGGTGGGCAACCTTTTTTTTTCAACTGAGCCAAATCTCCAAAACCACGATTGAAATTTATTTTGAGAGCCACATTTTTAAAACTGAAAATACATAGGATGGTACACTGTTTTTAGTTTCAATAAGTTTTTATAGTAATTCATCCCCCATAGTAATTCATCCCCCATATAGTAATTCATCCCCCTATAGTAATTCATCCCCCATAGTAATTCATCCCCCATAGTAATTCATCCCCATAGTAATTCATCCCCCATATAGTAATTCATCCCCCATAGTAATTCATCCCCCATAGTAATTCATCCCCCATATAGTAATTCATCCCCCATAGTAATTCATCCCCCATATAGTAATTAATCCCCCATAGTAATTCATCCCCAATATAGTAATTAATCCCCCATAGTAATTCATCCCCCATATAGTAATTCATCCCCCATAGTAATTCATCCCCCCTATAGTAATTCATCCCCCATATAGTAATTCATCCCCCCTATAGTAATTCATCTCCCCTATAGTAATTCATCCCCCCTATAGTAATTCATCCCCATTATAGTAATTCATCCTCCATAGTAATTCATCCCCCATAGTAATTCATCCCCCCTATAGTAATTCATCCCCCATATTAATTCATCCCTCATATAGTAGTAGTAAGTAAGTAGCAAGTAGTAAGCCAAGTCCCCCCTGTGTCAATTCACTTACCTTTGCTCCGCGCGTTCCTCTCGCCGTGTTCCCGCGCCGTTCCGGTCTTCAGGGCGGACTGTGAGAGGAGCCTAGCTCCTTTCACGTTCGTCACGCTGCCCCGCCTACACACATCCTGACAGCAAATCACTGGCTATCAGGATGTGAGTGGCAGCGAGACTGGCCAATCATTGCATTTGAGCGCGCTGCCCTGGCTGTTTTTTTTTTTGATCACGCTGCAGAGTCCCTGCCGCCCGAGAGGAGGGAGGGAAGTGGGCGCCCGGCACACAAGAGCCGCATTAAAGCGTGTAAAGAGCCGCATGTGGCTCGCGAGCCGCGGCTTGCCGACCACTGGCCTAGGGGAAAAATATGTGCTGTGTGACTTCTTCGAGTCTTCATGCATACGGGGAAGGGCATGTGTGCTGTCAGAAGAAGGGTATAAGCGTGGGGCCCAAAGAACCTGCACTGCCTTTTTGCAGGGTACATCCATGAGGAGTGAGGCTGAAGCCTGAATGGGAGCAATGGGGGAGATACTTCAACTGCTGAATATTATCTGAAAGAACTGAGTACAAGCTTCGACATTGCAGGATGTCTGGTGGCTCATTCACAAAGTGCATTTGTTGCATTTGAACACTGTTCTACAGTCTGGAATATCAATAAAATGCTAGTTCTGGCTTAAAGACCCTCATCAGTATAGACTGTAAGTAAGTGTGGAGTCTATAACTAGTTCTCATTTGGGGTATCCAAATAAATTACCTCCTATTGTTGTATCACCTCCCCCTTCCTTTAGATTGTAAGCTCCACAAGCAGGGCCCCTCCTATTCCTTCTGTACTGAAATGTATTGTAATTGTACTGTCTCCCTTATATTGTAAAGCGCTGCGCAAACTGTTGGTGCTATATAAATCCTGTATAATATTAATAATAATAATAATTACCTTTGGAGATGGAGGTCAGTTAATTAGTCACCATATTAGTATTGGTGAGTGCTGTGGTGCAGTTGAACTCTCTGCAGGCTAGGAGGGCCAGTTAAACTCAGTGGTTCCTCAGATGAGCACTACCATAGGAAATTTAAGTATAACTCCCATGTAATTCCAAGTCTTACTTGTAAGGAAAACTGAGCAAATGAATAAATACCTACAGTAGAAAAAAAAGGTCTACACACCCCTGTTAAAATGTCAGTTTCTGTGATGTAAAAAAATGAGACAAAGATAAATAATTTCAGAACATTTTCAACCTTTAATGTGACCTATAAACTGTACAACTCAATTGAAAAATAAACCGAAATCTTTTTTTTTTTTTGTGGGGGGGGGCGGAGTAAACATAAATAACTAAAATAATGTGGTTGCATAAATGTGCACACCCTCTTACAACTGGGGATGTAGCTGTGTTCAGAATTAAGCAATCACATTCAAAATCATTAAACAGGAATCAGTACACACCTACCATCATTTAAAGTGCCTCTGATTAACCCCAAATAAAGTTCAGTTGTGCTGGTAGGTCTTTCCTGACATTTTCTTAGTCGCATCCTGCAGCAAAAGCCATGGTCCGCAGAGAGCTTCCAAAGCATCAGAGGGATCTCATTGTTAAAAGGTGTCAGGAATGGACTCAGCACTGGTGGTGGGACTCACCTGCCGCGTGGGCTGCAGTACCAGGGCTGACCAGCGGGTGCTCTCAGCAGCCAGAAGCTTACTCCTGCAGTCAGCCAACACCTGGGGCTGATTGCAGGAGGTGTATTTAAGGAATGACCAGGTCTGTGATCAGTGCCTTGGTGTATGTTTCCCATGAGCCCCTGTACCTGGTATCCTGTGTTCCTGCCTAGTTGCTGATCCTGCTTTGATCCTGACCTCTGCTGACCATCTCCTGTTGAACCCCTGGCTTGCCTGACCATCCTTCTGCCTGATCCTCTGTACCGTGCTGCCCGTGAGTTACTGAACCCAGCTTGTGACCCTGACTATTCTCTGCCTGCTCCTCCGGTACCTCACTGCCCGCACGTTGCTGACCTGGCCTGCCTGACTACGCCTGACGCTACCCAGACGATCCATCCATCCCGCACGAATCCAGTCACTACTGTCCAAACCTGCCAGCCCCTTCACATCAGGCTTTCCCCCGGTACATACCCTCGGCGGACCCCTCTACCACAGTTGGGTGCACTCAGGGGCCGCGACCTGGTCTCAGTCCTGCGCCAAGTCCATCCCCACCATCAGGGGCTCTGGTGAAAAGGCAGACTGGGGCTTAGACTCCGCGCCCTGGGGAATCCTGTTCTGTGGGTCACTAGAGATCCCGCCGGGCGGTGCCTGACAGTACCTTACGGCCTGCCTGACCATCCACCTCTCCAGCCTGACTACGCCTGTGTTCCTGAAGCCTGCTACTTCCCTGTGTCAGTCCACACATTTCTGGTCATACCCGGATCCCTAACAGAACACCAAGGCCAATCCTGACCAGAAGTGGCCACACAGGGAAGCCATCTTGGCTTGTTGTTTGTGGAGGATGCATCCTAAGGAGGTTGAGTACTTGTCTCTGCTAGTCTTGGAAGACAGAGTATACGGCTATCAGATTCTGAAGAAGTATGCCAGGGATCAGCTGCTAGAGTGCATGCGGGTTGCTCATTCACTAGTGGATCAGGGCATGGGGTTTTCTGAGGTACAATCATTGATCCAGGTTTGTGCTGAGTTGGCTCTGTCCAGTACTCCTGAAAGCAGGGATGACTTTTTTCCCCCATCCTGAAAGCAGGGATGACTTTTTTCCCCCATTTAGTGCAGATCAAGTGGAATCACTGGTATGGTTGTTGGAGGATGATCCTGATTGCTTCCATGAGCATTATGCAGCTTGTCCATCACATTTGCTTGTGGATTGCATAAACGCAGTGCAGTCTTTGGTCAGACAGGCTATGTGTAAGCTGAGTTTTGTTCAACCGGTATTACAGATATGGTCAGATTTGTTACCCCCAGCCTCAGTCAGCTTGCACCAACCCACTCCTGCTTCTAATCTATTTCTGCAAAGCTCTATTCCTGCATTCCCGACAGCACCCCCAGTGACAGCCCAGTATACCCTGCTATCAACCACATGTCAGAACTGTGTTCCCACTCGCTGCACCTATCCTGCGTTTAATCCTGTAAAGAAGCCCTCTGTAGCAACTGCTCCCTCCTCTGTTCCATCCTCCAGCTCTTCTCTGTCTTCAGCTGCTCCATCTGTTTACAGACCTGCATTTACTTACAGTGCTCCAGTAACTAAAACCAGGAAGAAGCGAAAATTCTTTCCAACCAGTACCATCCTGCCAGTATCCAAACCAGTCAGCCTGCGGTCTGAGAACCCGCCTTCTGTTTAGCCTGATGCCCGGATGCCTGATGACCCAGTGTACGCTACCCAGCTGGATGACCTACCCGGCCTGATGACCCGATCCAGCCAGATGACTCGTTGCCCGCTGTCGTGCCAGATGACTTGGTGCCCGCTGTCGTGTCAGATGACTCGTTGCCCGCTGCCGTGCCAGATGACTCGTTGCCCGCTGTCCTGCCAGATGACTTGTTGCCCGCTGTTCTGCCAGATGACTCGTTGCCCGCTGTTCTGCCAGATGACTCGTTGCCCGCTGTTCTGCCAGATGACTCGTTGCCCGCTGTTGAGCTTGGTGACCCGGTGCCCGCTGTTCTGCCAGATGACTCATTGCCTGCTGTTCTGCCAGATGACTTGTTGCCCGCTGTTCTGCCAGATGACTCGTTGCCCGCTGTTGAGCTTGGTGACCCGGTGCCTGCTGTTCTGCCAGATGACTCGGTGCCCGCTGTTCTGCCAGATGACTCGGTGCCCGCTGTTGAGCTTGGTGACCCGGTGCACGCTGTTCAGCTTGGTGACCCGGTGCCCGCTGTTCAGCTTGGTGACCCGGGCCCGCTGTCGTGCCAGATGACTCGATGCCCGCTGTCATGCCAGATGGCTTGGTGCCTGCTGACTTGCCCGGTGACTCGGTGCCCGCTGACTTGCCCGGTGACTCGGTGCCCGCTGTCGTGCCAGATGACTTGGTGCCCGCTGTCGAGCTTGGTAACCCGGTGCCCGTGCTTCTGCTAGATGACTTGCTGCCCGCTGTCATGCCAGATGACTCGGTGCCCGCTGTCGAGCTTGGTGACCCGGTGCCCGCGGTTCTGCTAGATGGCTCGGTGCCCACTGACGTGCTCGATGACTCGGTGCCCGCTGACTTGCCCGGTGACTCGGTGACCATGGTCGTGCCAGATGACTCGGTGCCCGATGACTCCTTGCCCGCTGACTTGCCCGGTGACTCGGTGCCCGATGACTCGGTGCCCGGTGTCATGCCAGATGACTCGGTGCCCGCTGTTGAGCTTGGTGACCCGGTGCCCGTGGTTCTGCTAGATGGCTCGGTGCCCGCTGACGTGCCCGATGACTCCGTGCCCACTGTCGTGCCAGATGACTTGGTGCCCGCTGTCGTGCCAAATGACTCTGTGCCCGCTGTCGAGCTTGGTGACCCAGTGCCCGCGGTTCTGCTAGATGACTCGGTGCCCGCTGTCAAGCTTGGTGACTCGGTGCCCGCTGTCGTGCCAGATGACTCGGCGCCCGCTGTCGTGCCTCTGCCTGCTGCCCAGCCTGATGTGCCTCTGCCTGCTGCCCAGCCGGACGTGCCTCTGCCCTCTGCCCAGCCGGACATGCTGCTGCCCGCTGCCCAGCTGGATGTGCCTCTGCCCGCTGCCCAGCCTGACATGCCTCTGCCCGCTGCCCAGCCTGACGTGCCTCTGCCTGCTGCGCAGCCCGATGTGCCTCTGTCTGCTGCGCAGCCTGATGTGCCAGCCCCTGATGTCCAGCTGAACTGGCCAATAACTGATTCCCAGCCTGCTCCTGGAAATCCTGTGTCCAGCGACCTGCCTTCCTGGGTTCCCCTACATAAAGAGAAGTCTGCCAGCAGGAAACCCAGCCTGCCGGTTGACTCCGGCAGTAAGATATCCAGCCAGTTACCTGACCCGGGCGGTGGAACATTTTGCCCACTAAGGACTGTTTGGAGCATCCTGAGGCCGCTCCTTGAGGGGGGGTACTGTCAGGAATAGACTCAGCACTGGTGGTGGGACTCACCTGCCGTGTGGGCTGCAGTACCAGGGCTGACCAGCGGGTGCTCTCAGCAGCCAGAAGCTCACACCTGCAGTCAGCCAACACCTGGGGCTGATTTCAGGAGGTGTATTTAAGGAATGACCAGGCCTGTGATCAGTGCCTTGGTGTATGTTTCCCCATGAGTCCCTGTACCTGGTATCCTGTGTTCCTGCCTAGTTGCTGACCCTGCTTTGATCCTGACCTCTGGTGCCCCTTCACATCAGGCTTTCCCCTGGTACATACCCTCGGCGGACCCCTCTACCACAGTTGGGTGCACTCAGGGGCCGCGACCTGGTCTCAGTCCTGCGCCAAGTCCATCCCCACCATCAGGGGCTCTGGTGAAAATGCAGACTGGGGCTTAGACTCCGCACCCTGGGGAATCCTGTTCTGTGGGTCACTAGAGATCCCGCCGGGCGGTGCCTGACAGTACCTTACGGCCTGCCTGACCATTCCACCTCTCCAGCCTGACTACGCCTGTGTTCCTGAAGCCTGCTACTTCCCTGTGTCAGTCCACACATTTCTGGTCATACCCGGATCCCTAACAAAAGGTATCAGTCAGGAGAAGGGTAAAAAAGAATTTCCAAGGCATTAGATATACCATGCAACTCTGGTGAACAAAAGCAAAACAGGATGCACTCTCTTCGTGCATTAACGTATTAAACCAAGAATTTATTATGAAGCATAAAAATGCATACTCACAAACCAAAAGGGGGATAAAAAAAAGACAAGAAGAGTCCATAATGACAGTCCAAATTGATGGTAGACCCTTAGTGAGGTACTAGCGCGTTTCAGGAGACAAACTCCCTTCATCAGAGCTCATCATCATGGTGGTGGCAGCATCATGCTTTGAGGCTGTTTTTCTGCAGCTGGAACTGGGGCCTTTATCAAGGTAGATGGAATTATGAACAGTTCTAAATACCAGTCAATATTGCCACAAAACCTTCAGCCTTCTGCTAAAAAAACTGAACATGAAGAGGAACTTCATCTTTCTGCATGGCAATGACCCAAAGCATACATCTAAATCAACAAAGAAATGGCTTCACCAGAAGAAGATGAAAGTTTTGGAATGGCCCAGCCAGAGCCCAGACCTGAATCAGATTGAAAATCTGTGCAGTGATCTGAAGAGGGTTGTGCGCAGGAAATGCCCTCACAATCTGACATATTTGGAGTGTTTTTGCAAGGAAAAGTGGACAAATATTGCCAAGTCAAGATGTGCCATGCTGACTCATACCCGAAAAGACTGAGTGCTGTAATCAAATCAAAAGGTGCTTCAACAAAGTATTATTTTAAGGGTGTGCACACTTATGCAGCCATATTATTTTAGTTTTTTATTTTTATTTCCCTAACAGATTTTAGTTTGTTTTTCAATTGAGTTGTATAGTTTATAGGTCACATTAAAGGTGGAAAAAGTTCTGAAATTATTTATCTTTGTCTGATTTTTTTTACATCACAGAAACCTGACATTTTAACAGGGGCGTGTAGATTTTTTATATCCATTGTAGGTATATAGTATTTGATTACTTCTGGAGGGATATGTGCTGCTCTGAATCAAATTTATTGTCATCTGAGTAGACGGTTTTAAAAAGGTTTCTCCACTGGAAAGCAGAGCTCTTCTAATATGTGTCTTCCCCAGATGTACTAGAGAAATGATCAATCAGCTAGGTAAATAAATGTTGATGTTCTGTCATGCTGACTGCTAAGCTTTGCCCTGCTGTGAGTGCATGATGAACTAAAAGCTACCCATGTACGGGATGTTCTTTCTCTTCTATGATATATTATTTCACATTTAGGGACACATTTATGAGGGATTATGAGTTCACTATCATGCAATATCATTATATAGAATGCATCAGACAAACTACAGTATTGATCTCATGCCTAAAGGATTAATCAATAAAGACCTCTTATCATAAGAACTTATTGAAATAAAAACATTAGACTATGTGGCATGGATTTCATTGACCACAGCAGCCATAGTTGTTGAATACAAAATAAAGGTAAATAAGGAATTCAACATTGAAAAAATGATTATTATTATCATACAAGATTTATAGTTTGTGCAGAAATAACCACTAAGGAACGATATTTGGTCCTAAACTGCTAAAGAATATATTGTACAAGTTGTTCCCAGCCTCGATTTTAACCCCCCTGGCGGTATTCCCGAGTGTAGCTCGGGGTAAAGTTTCAGCACCACAAGCGGTAACCCCGAGCTACACTCAGGAATATCCTGCAGCGCTGCGCCGGGATCCCTTCTGCACTTACCTTGTCCTTCGCTCCCGTGATGTCCCTCCTGCAGTGTCCCCGGCAATGTCCTCCGGCCGATGCCGGCATCTGTCTTCTGGGTTCCGTTCCCTGTGACGTCAGGACGTATGGGGACAGAACGGCGGGAAATTTAAAAATGTGAAAAAGTGACATTCACTAAATACACTAAAATAACATAGTAAAACATTACTGTATCAAAGCATTTCACATACATTTTGTCCCTAGTGCTTTGTCCTGTGCCCTGCCTGCATTTTTACTGTTCTTTCTGCCTGGAAACTGAGAAATGTCCATGGCGTCCAAATAGCGTCCCTTTGGTCAAAAGCGGTTTTAGACCAGCTAGAGAACAGCGATAGTAAATTAGAACTACTTGCAGAATTGAGTGATAATGATTCGTGAGGGAATTCGTCATCAGACACTGAAAACAATTTTATGACTTTCCTCAGTGATGTGCGAACTTGGCGCTATATTTCAAATTTCAGTGTTTTTTGGTTTGATTATATTATTGAATTAAATTTATTATTATTATAATATTATTATTTTTTATGATTATTTATTAAATTATAATTTATGATTTCGTGTTTCAAATTTTATCATACCCGGGATGTTTACTAGACTCTTGTTCGGACAGATTTCAGTGAATTATTCCTAAAAATTACAGGCCTACAATAAAAAAAATACATATTTCAATGCAAAAAAATGTACCGCTTTGAGCACAGAAATACTGACATAAATCAGACCGCTAGGGAGGTTAAGCTTTGCCTTACTGGCTCAAGGATTTCTTTTTAACACCAAAATCTCCTGGAAACTGGGCCACAAGAGCATCACGTCAGCCACCAAACACCAGAGGTTTCTATACCAACAGATGACCCCCCCCCCCTTTATTAAAAACCTTCTTCTGGAGAAATTTCGGCAAACTCCTTGTGGATAGGAACAATTGCAAAAATAGTCATATGAACCTTCAAAATGGCCTATTGCTACTCCCACAGATCCTTCTGAAACAGCAGTGACTTTGGAGCAGCAGGATACTAGAACACTGGAACCACAAGAAACTCGAAGAACTGGAACACTCCTGAAACAGTAGACTACGTAAACAACAGAATACTGGAACAGCAGGCAGTAACAGTAGTCACAGGGTCCTCGGTTCTCAGGAGTAGCAGATAATAACAGCAACCATGTGGTCTCAGTAGCATGTGGGTCTCTCTTTGCAGCAGACAGTCTCTGCAGATCTCTTTTCTCCTGTGCACAGCCCTGCACTGCAGCATGCGGCTTTGGGTGTCCAGAAGCAGACTCCCAGCCCTTAGTCCTGGGACCTTGCTCCACAGCAGTCTCCCAGTCAGCTCAAGGGCACACTTCCCTGGCTCTCCTGCACTGTCCCCAGTCCCATTCCCCCCAGGCACACAAGGTGAGAATTTCCTCAGCTCCCGGACAAACCTGCTCCCTCTAAGAGCTATTATTTTGACCACACCTTTTTTTGCCTTCACTAACTTTGCACATCCAATGTAATTCGAGGTGAAAGAATTATGGTGGGTATCGCTGACAACTTGAGCAAGGTACCCATCTTATTTAATATCATATAAAATGTTAGAAATTCTGTATATAGCTCTACAGAACAAACTGCACAATCCACATGGTTTTATCTGCTTCACTTCCACATGGAAGAAAAATATATTTTAAAAACATTCTTCCTAAGTAAATTAACATATATTTGAAATACTACAATTTTGGCCGTATTCTATATA